GTCCTCGCTAAGAATGTCCTTCCCGTGCCAGGCCATTTCGAGCGTAAGGGGAATTTTCTGAAAACCCTCTACGCCGCTAAAAAGGAGTATTGGTTTTGCGTCCCACAGTTTGTTTAGGACCAAATGCTAAAAATCTACAATGAATTACTCTTGGTTAGGTCGCGCACTACCACCACATAGGCATTCCGTTTTCCTTACCTTATCACAAGGATGCTTAAAGATGCCAGATTCAAAGCACCCCAGGGTGAAGCTAAAGAAAAAAAGGTTCTTGACTTTTCTCTTGGGGTCTGGAAGTCGAGCACAGCTTAGCTTCAGACGTCTCGTCAGGCACGCATTGGGGGCGAGTCGGTTTGGGGTGCTCCAGCACCCCCAGTGGCTCTTGCTTCGCCTATTTTTGATGCCCCTGCGCCTTCGCCATTAGATGTCATAACCCGAGCTGACTATCTCGCCCTGAATGCTCGTCTCGATACATTTAGCCTGCGCTTTGACGCCATAGAGGGCGCTGCCAGAAGACTCAAGAGAATCAAGAAATTTTACAGGCTATGCTCCAGTCATTGATTGACCGTGCGCCTGGCACACCTGGTGCTTCCTCCTCCACTCCGATGGTGGAGTGATTTTATGCTTTCAGTTTTATTTCCCTTTTTCCCGTAATACTATTTTAGACTTCTTTTGGGCCACGTTTGGCATTTATTTTCCAGTTTCTTTTGAACTTATAACTGCATTCCATTTTGCTTCTTTGCATGGATTTTCGCTTTGAAATAAATTGCAGTTATCGTTAGTGATTTTTGGATTCATATGATTCTTGCTCTGTATAAATGCTTTTGACAGGTTTTTGAATTCAAGTTTGGGGGTATGCTCATGGAATTCATGACGTGGTCTATTTTTGCACCGCCACTCCATTCCTCCTCAACTTGGTACTATTGTTCTTGGCACTCTCCATTTTTATTTTTATTTTTCTTATCCTTTGTCTTCTCACATTGAGGACAATGTGACATTCAAGTTTGGGGGTGCATGTGCTTACATTCTTATAATTTTTGTTCATTTTTGATGCATGGTAATTAATAAAATCATGTTGTTAGGAGCAATGATAGTGTAATTTGGAACTTTTGGAATAGAAACATGTGTTTAATACTTTGCATATAGAAGCCAAGAGATTTTTTTGAAAATAAAGAATTTTTTTTTTTTGAAATAAGCATGTTGATTCATATCGGTCTATATAAGTACTTCAATTAGATTTTCGCAGGACTTCATACTCTTTTATGCTTCACTGTGTACATTTGCACACAGGAAACTTAATTGTGAGGTATGTAACCCAATTGACCTTGACCAGGACTCAGTTGAACTGAATTGATAACCCTAATGAATGAATACTTGGCACATTTTTTTTTAATAATAATAATAATAATAATAATAATAATAATAATAATAGTAATTTGATGACCAGTTTGAGTTCGTAACCTTTCCAACTCGAGTTATAAAGCCCTAGGAGTGTTTCTACACTTAGCACCCTAAAGCCATCTGGTTTGGGAGTTGTTGGCTTAACACTTTCTATATGAGTTGGTTAGAAAGCTTAAAGGACTTAGACATTGCATGGTAATTCAAAAATAAATAACTATGGTTCGTCGAAGTTCGTAGCCTTTCCAATTCGAGTTATTAAGCCCTAGGAGTGTCTCTACACTTAACACCCTAAAGCCATCTGGTTTGGGAGTTGTTGGCCTAACACTTGCTACATGGGTTGGTTAGAAAGCTTAAAGGATTTTGACATTGCACGACCATAGTAAGTGATTTCTTGAGTTGATCAATAAAATCGTCATTAAGCAACAAAAGTTGTTTTGTGAATAAAGTTAAGCCTTGGGGACCTCATTTAGATGGAGATTTAAGGATTTGAAAGCTTGTGGTTTTGGGATTGGAAAGAGAGGGTAAAAGTCACATATTGGGAATCCAATTCACTTTCACTGAAGTTAGAGTTAAATTCCATTTTAAAAATGACAATTGAAGTGTTTATATAGGTCTTAATAAGCAATGCGTAAAAGTTGTAACTTATTTTGCCATTTTGAGTATCAAGGCTTTATATACGTACGGTAGTTTGCTTAATGAGTCTCTTTCCAAATTTTTGTTGTTCCAAGTTACATTTGAGCTTTGCAGGTATTTTCGCATTTCATGATTAATGCATGTTATTAGCATTTCATATGTTGTCATTTTTGTTAGGTTCTATATTTTGGTTTTGCTATGGGACTAGAAAAATGCAAGTTTGGGGGTGTGATAAGCATCGAATATTACATATTCAAGCGCCTTTATTTGCATTAGTTAGGTCCATTAGCTGGTGATAATGTACAGTTTTGCTTTATTTGTTTGTTTTTGTTGTCTTTTAGGTCGATTGCCCCAAATATGGTTAAAGAAGCAGTTTTGTCAATTTACACATGCCGTTGCTGGGAACTGTCTTTTAGAGCCAAAACTTCTTGAGTCCTCATGTATGTGGGGTTGTGATATTGAGCTCAGGTCAAAGAGTGCATTGATAGACATTTCATTTAAAGTTCGAAGGAGGGCTGAAATTGCTGAGGGATAGTCTCCGCGGGCGCCCGCCAATCATGCTAGTAGCTATCCTTCATCAGTGGGGCCCCGCAGTGCTCGCGGGCCCCGCCGCACGTTCCGCGGGCCCGCCAAACCCTCCAGAGAGTCCCCTCATCATGTAAGGACCCGCGGGCGCCCGCCGATCTGTAGACAACTCTGCACTCCTCCTCCCAATGCTATCTCCTTGACTTATTTTTGTGGTTCTAATCCTCCTAGGGTTGGTAGGGCACGAAAATGGAGGAAAATTGAGAGGCTAAGGGATTAATAAAGGGCTTGAGGCTAAAGGAATATAACATCTTACATTGGGGCCAAGTTTTAGAGAGAGAAATATTGAGAGCTTATGGGGGTGGTGTTCTTGAAGCCCTTGAGCACGAAAATGGAGGGTGAGGGTGCTTCTTCTCCTTCATTCCTTGCATCCATGGGTAACTAAACCCCTATCTAGGGAGGTGATGAAGCCTTCCCTTGTAAGCATGTTCTAGTTTAGATTCTATTTTGGGATAACAATGTATAATTTTTGGTCTTTTCATGATCTAAAACATCTTGCTTCTTGTAATGGATCTTAATGTATACAAATGATTATTTTGAGTTAATTATCTGTTTTAGATGGTTTCTTCTCTTAATCATTTTTGCTTGCACTCTCATGGTGACAATGGTAGTGAGATCATGGAATGGTTTTATTGGCATAAAGTTGGAGAGTCTTGATAATCCATGGCTTGGGTTCTCCCTTGGATGGTCTATGCTTGATTTTTAGCTTTATGTGCTTTCATTATTTAATTTAGGGCTTGATAATCCTTGACTTAGTAAGCATGTTTTAGGCTATACCTTAGTTTAGGTAGTTGAACATGTGGATCTTTGATGGTTTATTCTTGCCTTTTAATTTATTGAACCTCTTGAAGATATTATAGCAACCGAGTGACGCTATATATCATGACCATTTAATATGTTGTTTTCCCCCAAATTAGTCCTAATCTAGTATATGTATAGGGATGGAGGCGGATTCACTTCCCTAGTCCTCTCTACTTGTATTTCATATCTTCAACTTCTTGCAAGCTTTTGTTTTATGAAATTTAAATTCTTAGCTCTTAAGTGACAACAACAAAACAAACTCTCTACCACCTTCATCAAACTAAAAGTGAATATAACAACCTTGTTTGCCATAAACTAGCAGTCCCAGTGGTTCGACCTACCTGACCAATAGCCCTATTTTACAATGATTTGTGCTATTGCAAATGGTTGATTATTATTGTGATAGTCGACGACCGATCAAACTCCACCTTAATTCAAATTTTCAAACAACTTTAACAAATTTTAGGGTAAGTCTTCAAATTTCTACCATGATCACTGCTACTGGTTTTTTTTTGAATCTTCTGCCAACATTGTTGTTTCTTCCACGCTTTGCTTTGTTTGAAATTTCAGTCTTTTCAGTCTTGTCTTCTACTGGTTTTTTCTTTGTCTTTTGAATTCTCAATGCTTTTTCTAGAGTTGTTTTTGCAGTACATGCAACCACTTCTTTCTTCTTCTCATCATCCTTGAGCATAGAAAAATCAAGAGGATAAATATTGTTATCAGACATTTTTGAAAACACTATTAATTTTTTATCTCCTTTGTTGTACAACATGCATCTGTCATCTTCAAACGTAATTGAACAATCTTTCTTGAGTAGCTGTCCCAAACTGATCAAATTTGAGCCAAACATGGAATACACAAAACATCATCAATCAATTTTTTACCAAAATTTGTATTCGCTGCAACGGTTCATTTGCCTTGAACTTGCACCCTTTTGTCGTTCCCTATACGCACTTGAAACTTTACAGATTCATCAAATTTAACAAAAATAAATTTATCTCCTGTCATGTGGTTACTACAATCACTGTCAAGATACCACATATTTTTGACAATGCATTTATTGATTACGTTGCAATAGGAGATGGCCTATAATTATTGAGAGAAGAGGGATTAGGGCATTTTGGGACCAAAGAAACATAGGAATTGTTAACTAGTTTCAAAAGTTTTCCATTAGTGAAAAATTAAAAAATGGCTTTTGTGATGCTCCTACCTACAATGTGCCATCACGCCCGGTGCTTAATCTTTGTTAAGGGACATCATGCAATTTTGGATCTCAAGCTCAGTAGAGTGAGTACATGAATGAAGTGAGACGGGAGAAGGGATAATCTTTGTGACGAAGGGCCTCAAAGACTCCCTACCTGGGTATTGAACAATTTATAACTTTCCAACAGTATATTTTAGATTTTAGATTTTAGATTTGAGGTGTCACAACTACTAACAAATACGATCCGCACGAGTTGGTCTAGTAGAGTAGAGGCGTGAGATAGATGATCTGGCTCCTATTTCGACATTCCGAAGGCGCATTAAATACACACTCTTCCTGAATTATTGGATTCTTACTCAACTCTGGTGTGGGTCTCGCCAGTGTCCCATGATTTACCTTCTAAGGTGGAAAAAAAAAACCAAAAACAAACTAATATTTAATTCCAACATGTAGATATTATTACTGCCTCTTAGATACCGTTAATTCATCAGTATCTATGGACTTTTACATAAACAATTAGTAGAGAGTAGAGACTAATCCTTAGAGAATTAGTCTATCCTAAATACAAACCTTAATTATAGAATACTTATATCAAATACAAACAACGTACAAAAAAAATAAATAAATAAGGGCAGTTTGACTAATCCATCCAGCTGATGTCACCTCTCACGTACGTAAATATAATAACATACAACACCATAGGTGACCTTAAAAATATCAGAAATTGTCATCACTCCCTTTCCTTAATAATCACCGGAAAACCACCTTTCATCTTAGACGACAAGTACGATATGAATACCGGGTCCAGCTCCACACCTTCCTCCTCCACCGCTGGCACCACCCTAAACCGCCACAAAACACCAGCAACCAGCCTCTTCATCTGCAGGAAAGCCATCTCCTTCCCCAGACAAATCCTGGGTCCGGCTTGAAACACTGGGTACGTGAACGAATCCCTCCCCACGAACCTCCATTTCCCGGTCTCCGCCTCCCTCTCCAACCATCTCTCCGGGCGGAAATCCGCCCAGTCTGACCCCCACAACCTCTCCAACCTCCCCATTGCATAAGGATGATAACTAACCCTCGTCCCTTTCTTCACAACGGTCCCGTCCGGCAAAACGTCGTCCTCCATTGCTTCTTTGGTGTCCGTAGGAACCGGCGGGTAAAGTCTCATGCTCTCACTCAACGCAGCATGTGTGTAAACCATGTCCTTCACTTCGTCATAAACCGGCGAATCCGACTTCTCTCTGATCTCTCTTAGAATCTCTTCTTCAACCTCTGGATTACAGGAGACCAACCAGAAAAACCATGTTAAAGCGGCAGATGTGGTGTCTCTTCCCGCCAAAATAAAGCTGATGACAATGTCCGTGACGAAATTTTCGTCCGAATGACCGGAGCTCAAGAATCTCGATAGCAGATCTACAGATTCGAGTGATGATTTGTCACTGAGTTCTTTTTTCTTTCCTTTGATGACACGTTTAGCAAATTCGCGGACTTCGTTGACAGCTATTTGGAGTTTCTTCTCTGATCCAACACCGAGGAGTCTTTTGGTTTTCCAGATGAGACGGTGAGCAGAATTAAGCCGCTCGCTGCTGATCCGAACCGCATTTTCGAAAGCCTCTGCGAATCTCGCCGGCGGCATGGAAGGTAACAGGTAAGCAGGGTCGTACCCGAATGCGATTTTACAGATATTGTCGAATGCGAATCTCTGAAGAACGTCTTGGAAGTCGAGGACGGTGGTGTTTTTGGCGGCGGCGGAGAGGATGGGGAGGAGACGATCGGAGAGCTCTACGTCCACCACGTTTTCGACGAAATTACGTAGACTCTTGGTGTTGAACTGGTGACTGGAGACTTGTCTCTGGAACTTCCAGCTCTCGCCGTCGGCATTGAAGATGCCGTCGCCCAGGAGGTCGGAGAGGGTTGTGCGGAAGATGTCTCCCTTTTGGTACTGGTGGAAATGGGTCTTGAGGAGGTGCTGGACATTGGAAGGGTTGGCGGTGAAGACTTGGCGGTAACCAAAAGGGCGGTGGAGGACGAAGGTTGAAGTGGGTGAGTCCCTGAGAATGTCTGATGTCCATTGAATGCGTCGGTTTCGATTCGCGAGGATTGCGAAGGAAGAACCTATCAATGGGTATGATCTCGGAAGCTTGCCGGAGTACTTGGATGAGGAAGGGTTTGCGAAAATGGAACTCAATTTGATGAAGATGAAGAGAAGTAATGGAAGGAGGCAAAAGAGTAGGGAAGTTGAATACTCGAGGTTTAACATGGCTGATATATATATATATATATATATATATATATATATATCTATATATAGTCGATATAATGTGCTGGAGTGTTAATGAGTGAAATCGGGGAAGAAGGCTGGGACTATTTATAGCACATTTTGTTGAAGGTTTCCCGTCTCTTTTCTTCTTTTTTATATTTTATTTCGTTTGATGACTGGGGAAGGCATTCATTTTGTTGGATTAGACAACAATCACATTATATAATACAAGGATCAGTGAAGTGCGCATGAAATTTATTAAACCAAATATAAAACTCCATTCCCCTCCAAAATTGTTATGTTTGAGAAATTGTGACCCGTAAGCATAGTATTATTTTTTAAACGAAGAAGTAATAGTTAAAAGGATAATACTTAGGTTTTTGCATAACATATTTACTTTTGATGTGGACCAATAATCAATTGACACGTATTATTTTAATTACCAAATCAGAAATAATATAATTTGGTAAGTGAATATCTACTCACCATCTTTGATTTGGGATTCAATAATTAAATATCACATTATATAAAGGCCTTGTTTATATAATTAACGACAACAAATTGAGCAAAAAAAAAAAAAAAAGTGTATTAACGGTATCATATTCAAAATTCATATAGTTTGTAATTCAAAATGTTGTTGTAAAAAAAATATATTAGGAACATAAAATATAGACATTGTCATGACTAGAATTTCTATTTTGCATTTTCAATTTCATTAGGAGGAAAAACATTACTACACTTTTGCATTTTCGATTTTATATAAAACCAATACATTATTATTATTATTATTTGTGTAGTTTGATTTATTTCGAAACAAAAATATATTTGGTAATTAATTTGTTGCATAATGTTTCATTAAAAAAAAGTTTGATTTATTTTCAAACGATGGTATTTACATTATATTGGTTTTTTTTTTATTATTATTATTTTTATATAAAAAAAATTACAATAGTTTTAGCTAAAATCTAAACGCAATATATATATATATTGCGTTTAGATTTTGTTCTTTTTCTAAATCAGATTCAATATTGTGCAAAATGTAACAAATGATATCAAATATGTTTTTGGAATTTGTTTATCTTTTTCACTAATTTACCAAAAAAAATACAAAAGCAAAAATCAGTTGCTAAGCAAGCACTAAATGTATTAAATTTCAATAACAAATTTAAAGAATTAAGAAAAGAGAAAGAAGTTGTCACACATATATCATATATGACTGCAAGAAGAATAAAAAAAAAAGGAAAACAAAAAGGAAGAAAATATACATGTACGTACATACACACGAGTATATGTGAAAGAATTTGAAGGAAGGAAAAAAAAAAAGGGTTTTATTGAAAAAAGCGAATGCATAAGAAGGATAAGAAAGAAAAGAATTAGAGACATTTTTAAAGGAGGCTAAATTTAGAGAGTCGTTTTGTAAAATTATAATTTTAGGGGGATGTTTTTGTAAAATTTTACAAGTTACATATATAAATTTTTAAAAAGTTAATGGAGGAAGCATGGGGCCAGGCGGCGGCAGCCTCCCGTGGGCCCCTGCTGTCTCCTCCCTGAGTTACTCCCTAAAATGTATTGAAATATTTTACTCCGTAGTACATTGTAGTTAGCTCTCTAATTATGTTCCATTGAGTAATTTAATACTATTTTTTTAAATAATCAAAAAATGGTGCAGAGAAATTATTTTAAAGTGGTTTGGTGGGTGGCGGCCATATTCAATTATTGTCATAAGTTACATTTTATTTTATGTTATTATAGTTATCATTATTCATTTATTTATTATTATTCTTTTTTTTTTTTTTTTTATTTAATATAAAACAAAACGTTCAGTCAATATCACGTTTGGTGGAGTTGATATGGTTTGAAATAGTGTCAGTCCAAAATAATGGGCCAAATCCATATCACCAGATTGGTGATATTAGTTGTTTTGACACTGTAGCTGTCCAAACCCATATCAGATTACCGTAGCGGAGCATACAGGATATAGGGCCTTAGTTTTGGTTTGGGTAAATAGTGATATTAGTTTGGTTTGGGTACTGTAGTGTTAAAAAAACTCGGCCCAAAACAAAACCATTCTTGTAACAGACCACTGGAGCGAGGCCAAATTCCTGAACCACAAAATTGTGCCTCCCATTTCTCTCTCTTCTCATGCCGTTGTGTGAGGCGATTTGATAAAAGCGATTCCACTGAAACCTAAAGTTCAATCGTTGTGCGACCACGGTTCAAGGTTTTGAGTTCCATATCCATTGTTCTTCCTATTGTTTCACTGGTTTCTGTGGTTTCTCTCTGTTATCTCACCTATTGCGAGGTAGTTCGCGACCACGAATTCCAGCTCTTGGTCTGCAAAGCCAGTGTTGTGCCTTTTGATTCGACTGAAACCCTAGTTCGTCATTCGCGATCACCGGATAAGGTTTTTCTTTTCAAAATTTTCGGTATTTCATAATAGTTTCATTTCATTATTTCAAAAAAACTTTCTGGTAAGAGGATGAAACTGTGTACATATTGGAAATGAAATTCAAGAAATTTGACTAAGATGAGTTAGCCATGTGTATTGAAAACTATTTCCAACTATTTAACCAAAATTTATTCTTTTAGAAAATACCCAAATCAATTCACATGCTTATGCTTTATGGGTACACAGAACTTTTAAACACCAAATGAGAATGTGAAGCCTAGAATCTTTAGTCTTTTGAGCCCATTTCGAGCATATCACAGAGATAAGATATTGTCCCATATCACCAAATTGGTGATATTGTTATGTTTTGACACTTTAGTGGACGAAACTAAACCCAAACTAATAACATACTTATATCAGGTTACTGTAGCGGAGGCATCACATATGTATAAGCTCCAATTTTCTGAAACCCTCGCTCTCTTCTCGCACCGTTGCTCTGGGGTGATTTGGGCGACCACGGTTCTTAGGTTTTGAGCTGCAAAATCATTGTTCTGCCTCTCGCTCCTCTCTGCTGCCTCACCTGGTGTGAGGCGATTCAAAGCCTATTCGACTGAAACCCTAGTTCCTCGTTTGCAAAGGGTCTCTCATGGGGGATTGAATCACAGCTCTGGCTTAGTATCTCTCTCTGGGTTAGTGTCCCTCTCTCTAAATCTGGTAATGTGATTTGTTTTGGGATTCTTCGCGTGAACATGTCATTTTAGGTCAAATTTTGATTGTTTTGTGTTGAATCGTGTTGCTGGATGTGAATTTAGAGCTTTTTCTGTTGTGGGTATTCGAGTTTTTGTTATTTGAAAGAGATTTTGGTTCTCTGGCTGTTTTGAGCTGATTAGGGTTTTGTATTGAATTTCTTATGGAGGCTGCAACAGTTCCAGTCAATGTCTAGTACTCTTTATCTTCTTTCATTTTCATCGCAGGATTATAGATTCCAACATCAGCATTGATGCATTGTATATGTATATATATCATGGTTTGTATTGTCTTTCATATAATAGGTTACCCTATAACGGTGAGTACTTCTCCAAGTGTGTGTGTGTATATATATATAAAGTGGGAAATTAAGCAACTAGAGACCTTTTGGTTGACACAACTCTCAAGCACTCTTTCCTTTTTTGGTGTTAACATGTATGAAATCCAGAGTCACAGAGAGCCATTTTGATTTTTCAACCAAAAGATTATCAACTACTTGTGTGGTTGTTTAGAAAATCATAATCAAGGAGATTAAAAGGTAGGACCGAAATTCCATGGAAAATTTCCTCCAATTGTTGATTGTCACAGCAATTTAAGTTGCTCCTAATATCATGGTCATTTGTTCTACAAATGTTTTTTCTCTGCTGGTCAAATTTGTTTTCATGTCATTTTCAATCCTTGTGTGAATTTGCTGAGCAGTTGAACTGCTTCTAATGGAAATTAAATTTCAAATTCGACAATTCTATTCCTCTAAGCTCTGCCTTGTTGCTTGTATTTATTTTTTCTTGAGGGAGATGACTATAGACTCAACTACTGGAAAATACTGCTAATTTAGCTTGCAAGATCAGGCATTAGAACTTGATTTTTTCGAGTGGAGCTAGCTCTTCTAAGATCTACTAATCTTTGGGCACTCTGTTTTCAGATGGGCATTTTTCATAAATGCCTTGGAACTATTTATTATTCAATTGCATATGCGAACACACAAGTATAAGATTTAAAAACAAGTCTGGGAATGTGTATTACCAACAAAACAGAGAGAGTCTACAAGGGACTTTATTTTTCGTCTTTCAGCAACCATGTTTTGATATTAAAAGGTAACCAAAGATGAGTTTAGAGAGGCAGAGAGGGGCCATGCTTCCATTGGTGCATAATTTTGGCCAGCTGATTGCTGTATGTACCGATGAATTGCATCCAACCCCACCCCAAATAATTCCTATAAATCTAATTTTCAAACCAGTAATCTCCTAACAAGCAATCTTATCCTTCCATTTATAAATAAAATCTTCCTCTACTCAATAAAGTATATCAAAGAATAAACAATATTTTGAGAACTTCATGAAAAATAGATAAATAAATAATAACTAATATAAAATTTGACTTACTTTTCTTAATGATTTTGAGTTCCTTAGTACAATATGTATGTTAATTAACTTTAGAATATAAATGAATTCACTAGAAAAGTTTACTTTTTATACGGCTTCTATGAGAAATATTAAAATTTTATAATAAGAAAATTGGAAAAAAATATAAAAATAAATGTTCGCTAAACCATCTATAGAAATTCTAACCTCCTTGTGGAAAAAGATAATAATAAAAAAAGAAAAAGAAAATGAAACTGTATTCTCTTAAAAAGAAAAGAACATAATAAAAAACCATAACACACAGCTATCACTCCAAAGAAAAGATGAGAGGTGCCATTAGGATAAGAAACTTAGTTTTTGGATGAGAGGCGCCATTAGTATTTTTGCTTCTTCCATGCAGGTATGCATTCTGGTCCCCTGCTATGGTCTTGCCATTTTGAAGGAGGAATATTGTCGCATGTAAAATGCCGGATCTTCCCTGACTTTGGCAAATGCAATGTGTCCATTTGCATTGCGGGGCAATTCAATTAGCCCATCCATGCAGGAAACCATGCACAATATGTATATATATATAGATGGTTTCCTTGCATGACAAAGCGAAAAAAAAAAAAAACTGCACAATTATACCAAAATTTAAGAAAAAATTTTAAGCATTGAAATTAATACACTAATAAAAAAAAAAAAAATTACTTATAAAAAAAAAAAGCATTGAAATTAATATAAATAAGAGGTGATGGCGTAAAATTGGTTAGGAGCCACTTTTAGGTTGTTTATGATTCCCATAACACCATTGAAGAATTTTTAATAGTTATGGAGCAAGTTGGCAACATATCCCATGTGAGAAAAGTTTTAAAAATAAAAAAATCGTATAATTACATTTATAAGGGGCATATGGCTTAGTAAAGAAAGACTCTGATGCATCAATATTTACTTTTTCTTTTTTCCACTTTCTCATTATTTGATAAGAATCACATGATTATGAATCTAAAATTTCAATTGTCTTGGAGCTAATTCAAATATTTGGTTTACTTGTGCAAATAACTCGAATTTTTCTAATAACCAAAACAATAGAAAACATTAAAAAAAAATATAATAATACAATCTTTGAACTAATTCAAATACTTGTTTTAGTTGTGTTGAAAAGGAAAGATTCGGTAGTAATACTACCAAATATTATTAGCTATAAATATAATATTTGGAGGATATTTGCTGTTAATAGAATATTGGTCAAATGCTGTAAATTAGGAAATTATTAATTAGGCCAACTAGTTATGTGCGTGTATTCTCTCCTATAAAGAGAACCCATGTAAACTTGTGAATTGTGTGCTAATGCAGAGAAAAGGTTTATTCCATATTTCTTTCCTTTCAAGTTAATATGGTATCAGAGCCACCCTAAGAAGAAGAAAGAAAAAAAAAAAAAAAAAAAAAACCCTAATTTTCTTTTCTGCACAATTTCTTCACTGATCAGCCATTCTGACGTTTCCTCCATGTCAACCTCCCCTATCACAACCCAGTCAACCAATCTGACAACCCAAGCCCTCAGTACCGATTCTCACTCGGTTCAGATCACCAATATTCGCCTTAATGGTAACAATTATTTACGGTGGTCCCAGTCCGTTCGGATGTACATCAGAGGGCGGGGAAAGATCGGGTACCTTATGGGAGACAAGAAGGCACCAGCATCGGAGGACTCAACGTACGTGACCTGGGATGCAGAAAATTCAATGGCGATGACTTGGCTTGTGAACTCCATGGACGAGGATATTAGCTCCAACTATATGTGCTACTCCACGGCCAAAGAGCTCTGGGACATCGTGAATCAGATGTACTCTGATTTGGGAAATCAGTCTCAGATCTACAAATTGACTCTAAAACTTGGTGAGATTCGGCAGGGAGAAGACTTGATCACCAAGTATTTTAATTTATTGAAGCGCCTTTGGCAGGACATGGATCTGTTCAATGATTATGAATGGAAATCCACTGAAGATGCCAATCACTACAAACGGACCGTGGAGACTCATCGCATTTACAAATTCCTTGCTGGGCTCAACGTGGAATTTGATGAAGTACGAGGACGGAGCATTGGTTGGACTCCACTTCCTCCAATTGGTGAAGTGTTTGCTGAGGTTCGAAGAGAAGAGAGCCGCATACATGTAATGTTAGGGAAGAAAACTACCTAGCGGACCTATTGAGAGTTTTGCCCTTATTGTTGCAGAGACTGCTGCTAATAAAGCAGTCAATTTTCAGTGAAAAACTGAAGAGAAGCCACGGGTCTGGTGCGACTTCTGCAACAAACCGCGCCATACTTGAGAGAACTGCTTGAAAATCCATGGAAAACTAGCGAATTGGAAGAGTAGCAAGCCTAGTGACAGAAATAGGTGTGCGGTTCCTACTGCTAATGAAGCTGAGACAAGTCCCTTAAGCAAGGAGCAGATGAATCACCTTCTGAAGTTGCTGAAATTTAATTCCTCATCTGGTATTCCTAGTGTTTCTCTTGCACAAATAGGTAGTGTACTTAATGCCCTTTCTTGTTGTTTAAATTATACTCCATGGATCATCGATTTTGGAGCCTCTGATCATATGACCAGCCTTTCCAATCTTTTTAGCACTTACTCACCATGTTCTAGCCTTGAAAAAATTAGAATTGCAAATGGTATTTTCTCACCTATTGCAGGAAAAGGTTTGATAAAATTATCCGAGAATATAGATCTTAAATCTGTTCTCCATGTCCCTAAACTAGCCTGTAACCTTTTGTCTGTGAGTAAACTAACCAAAGAATCTAATTGTCGTGTAATTTTCTGTGATTCTTACTGTGAATTTCAGGACCGGAGCTCGAGGAAGAAGATTGGCAGTGCTAAGATAATAGATGGACTTTACTACTTTGTTGGGGACTTCTCTAGTAATAAAAAGGCTTGGGGCCTTAGTAGTGTTAGTTCTAACTCTGTTTATGAACAACTAATGTTTTGGCATTTAAGACTAGGACATCCTAGCTTTTTCTATCTTAAACATTTGTTTCCTACTTTATTTAAAGGTTTGGATTGTTCATCGTTCTATTGTGAAAGTTGTTGCTTATCTAAGAGTCATCGCACTAGTTATTTGCCAAAACCTTATACTTCTTCAAAACCATTTTATTTAATACATAGTGATGTTTGGTGACCTTCAAGAGTCACTACTATCTCTGGGAAAAAATGGTTTGTTACTGTTATAAATGATCATACCTGTTTATGTTGGGTTTATTTGATGAATGAAAAGTTTGAGGTTGAAATTTTTTTTAAGAATTTTTACACAATGGTTGAAACTCAGTTTCAAGCAAAAATTAGCATTTTTCACACTAATAATGGAACCGAGTATTTTAATGAAATTTTGGGAAGTTTTTTGAAAGAAAAGGGTATCCATCATCAGTCTACATGTGTGGATACCCCTCAACAAAACGGAATTGTTGAAAGAAAAAATAAACATTTACTTGAAGTGGCTCGTGCTATAATGTTTTCAATGAATGTTCTAAAATATCTTTGGGGGGAAGTTGTTTTAATAGCTTCGTATTTGATTAATAGAATGCCTTCACGTGTTTTAAAATATAGCACGCCATTAGAATGTTTCAAAAGAATTTTTCCATTATCAAGGATATACTCGGATTTACCTCTAAAGGTTTTTGGCTGCATAGCTTTTGTTCATATACCCAATAATAGTCGGTCCAAACTTGATCCTCGAGCTGAAAAATGTGTTTTCATAGGGTATACTTCTAATCAAAAGGGATATAAGTGCTATAATCCCCAAACAAGAAAATTTTATGTAAGTATGGATGTATGTTTCTTTGAAAATAAATCCTACTTTCCCAAAAATTCTCTTCAGGGGGAGAATGAGGTGATGGAAGAAAATTTTTGGGATTTATCTCCTAATCCTTTACCAAATGTGATTTTAACTCCTTTGCCTCATCCTACTGTTATTCCCGAAATTCAAAGTCAGGAACAATGTGATAAAACCAATGAAAACAATGAAGAGAATCCTAGTCATATGGTGCCAAACATTACTGTATCTGAAACAGGGGAAGAATCACTACAACCGGGCACTAAAGTTCCCAATACTGAGCCTCTGGTTTATACTCGGAGAATACCTCATCAAAAGAATCAAAGTCAATCTATTCCACTTGGAAATGATCAATCTCAACCTCCGGAATTGGACCTCCAGATATCACATGTAATTCTATTCCTATCTCATCTTCAGTTCCTATTGTTTCTCCTAACCAAGACCTTGATATTCCTATAGCTGTTAGGAAAGGTATTCGAATCAAATATCCAAATCCAAAATATCCTATTGCCAAATTCCTTTCTTATGAAAAACTTTCTCATACTCATAGGGCTTTTACCTCAAAAATCTCACACTTGTTTGTCCCGAGAAACATTCAGGAAGCTCTTGATGATCCGAATTGGAAGTTAGCAGTGATGAAAGAGATGAATGCTCTTAGATTAGAAGAAGTGATACTTGGGAGATAGTTATATACCTAAGGAGAAAAGAACAGTAGGCTGCAAGTAGGTCTTTACTGTGAAATGTAAAGCTGATGATAGCATGGAGAGGTACAAGGCAAGACTAGTAGCAAAAGGGTTCACCCAGACTCATGGAATTGATTATCAGGAAACTTTTGCTCCTGTAGCCAAGATAAACTCAATCAGAATTTTGTTATCTTTGGCTGTGAATTTCAGCTGGCCATTACACTAGTTAGATGTAAAAAATGCCTTTTTAAATGGAGATCTTGAGGAGGAGGTCTTTATGAATCTACCACCTGGGTTTGAGGGAAAATTGGGACCTAATAAAGTCTGTAGACTGAAAAAATCTTTATATGGTCTTAAACAGTCCCCTAGAGCTTGGTTTAAGAGATTTAGGAGAGCTGTGAAGAATTGTGGCTATTGTCAGAGCCAAGCTGACCATACCATGTTCTACAAACACAGTAGAGAAGGCAAGGTTGCAGTGTTAATTGTCTATACGGATGATATAGTCTTGACAGGTAAATGACAATGAAGAATTGGAGAGACTGAAAAAGAGACTTGCAGCTGACTTTGAGATCAAGGATTTGGGTGCATTAAAATACTTTCTTGGAATGGAGTTTGCTAGATCCAAAGAAGGTATATTTGTGAATCAACGTAAATATGTTCTTGATTTACTTAGTGAGACAGGTCTGCTAGGATATAAACCAGCCGAGACACCCATTGAGCCCAACCTTAAGCTGCAGCCTTCTAAAGATGAAGAAGTTATGAATAGAGAGCAGTATCAAAGACTTGTTGGAAGACTGATCTACTTGTCACATACACGTCCAGATATAGCTTTTGCAGTCAGCATGGTTAGCCAGTTCATGCATTCACCTGGACGAGAACACTTTGATGCATTCTACAGAATTCTCAGATACCTAAAGGGGACCCTTGGAAGAGGTCCACTGTTAAAAAACCGTGGGCATTTGCAAGTTGAAGCCTACACTGATACTGATTGGGCTGGGAGTGCTATTGATAGACGGTCAACTTCTGGCTACTGCACCTTTGTTGGAGGTAACCTTGTCACCTAGCAGAGTAAAAAACAGAATGTAGTAGCAAGAAGCAGCGTAGAGGCCGAGTTTAGATCAGTTGCTCATGGAATTTGTGAGGTGTTGTGGATTAAGAGACTATTGGATGAATTAAAGGTCTCTAATCCGTTGCCTATGAAATTGTATTGTGACAATAAAACTGCTATTTTGATCGCTTACAATCCAGTGCTGCATGACAGAACAAAGCACGTGGAGGTAAACAAACACTTCATCAAGGAAAAGCTCGAAAAAGGATTGATCTGTATGCTGTACATTCCTACTACTGAGCAAGTTGCAGATGTGCTTACAAAGGGACTTCCTACAAGACAGTTCGACAGGCTAATTGGTAAGCTGGTTATGGAGGATATCTTCAAACCAGCTTGAGGAGGAGTGTTGAAAAGGAAAGATTCGGTAGTAATACTAACAAATATTATTAGCTGTAAATATAATATTTGGAGGATATTTGCTGTAAATAGAATATTGGTCAAATGCTGTAAATTAGGAAATTATTAATTAGGCCAGCTAGTTATGTGCGTGTATTCTCTCCTATAAAGAGAACCCGTGTAAACTTGTGAATTGTGTGCTAATACAGAGAAAACTTTATTCCATATTTCTTTCCTTTCAAGTTAATAAGTTGTGCAGATAATTATAATTTTTTCAATGACCAAAAACAAATAGGATCTATTAAAAAAAATGCAATCTTTGAACTTTATCATTTCCCTGAATTTATCTACAATCAAACAAAGTACGAGCGGGTTACTTTAGCTTGTATAGCTGATTACACTACCATCAGAGTGTGAATTCAATCTAGATGAACGCATATACATATATAGACCTATGTACAAAACATGGTTGCTGAAAGATGAAAAATAAGGTCCCTTGCAGACATTCTCTGTTTTGTTGGTAATACACATTCCTTGCCTTATTTTTAAATCTTATATTTGTGTGTTTGCTCGAATATGCAATTGAATAATAAATTGTTGCAAGGCATTTATGAATTAATAATAATTTGTTGCAAGGCTATTGTCTGTTCTTTTTGGTAGGCTGTCTATGAAATACCCAATTGACCTCTCAATATTACTTTTTACAGATACGGAGAATAAAGGACATAGAAGTAGCTCAAACATGCAAGGATGAAGATGCTCTTAAGAGGCCGAGGTATAGTGGATGCATGGATATTGGGTAAATTATTTTATAATTTCAAGGATTTTCCAACCTTGGATTCAAGTGTGAGATCTCATTCATCACTTTAACCATAGTTACTGTTGATAATTGTCTCTTGCTCCAAATCGTGCAGTAAACTTCCTTATGTTGGTTGAGGTGGTCTACTTAAAGTCTTAAACCAAAATTAATGTGTTCTCAAAGCAAGGTTACTTAGTGAAATAGTTTTTTAATATTTTCCGTGGGTGTTGTTAGTTTAAGGGAGGTGGGTAGATTGGGTGGTAATTGATATCAGTAGGCTGTAGATTAAGTTTTCGAAATTTGTCTGTTTAGGTAGTAGTTTTTTTCAGCCTCTCCGCCTATTTTGTTAGGATTCTGAGTTGGGTGCATTTTTTTGTTGTTTATTTGGTTACGCAGGAATACTAATTCACTCTAAGAGGAAATGCCATTGCATGTCAGCATTTTCTGAGAAGTTCTCATCTGCAGGCAATGGGACTTCTGATCTGGATGGGAGAGCTCTTTCTTCTGTGGAGGGGGCAAATCAAGAAACTTTAAAAACATTGGAAGGGATAAGAAAACGAGTTGATGATGTGTGCAGGATCTTGGAAAGCTGTCCTTGGGGACCTTACTTAGAGAAAACTATATCTACATTTGATGAAATACTTCAAACAGATTTAGTGATTTGAGTTCTACTTATGTTGGTTGAGGTGGTCTACTTAAAGTCTTAAACCAACATTAATGTGTACTCAAAGTTGCAAGGTTACTTAGTGAAATAGTTTTTTAATATTTTCCGTGGGTGTTGTTAGTTTAAGGGAGGTGGGTAGATTGGGTGGTAATTGATATCAGTAGGCTGTAGATTAAGTTTTTGAAATTTGTCTGTTCACTTAGTTGTTTTTTTCAGCCTCTGCACCTATTTTTTTAGGATTCTGAGTTGGGTGCATTTTTTTGTTGTTTATTTGGTTACGCAGGAATACTAATTCACTCTAAGAGGAAATGCCATTGCATATCAGCATTTTGTAAGAAGTTCTCATCTTCAGGCAATTGGACTTCTGATCTGGATGGGAGAGCTCTTTCTTCTGTGGAGGGGGCAAATCAAGAAAATTTAAAAACATCGGAAGGGATAAGAAAACGAGTTGATGATGTGTGCAAGATCTTGGAAAGCTGTCCTTGGGGACCTTACTTAGAGAAAACTCTATCTACGTTTGATGAAATACCTCAAACAGATTTAGTGATTCGAGTTCTAAAGAGACTGAAGAATGTTGATCAAGCGGTAAACTATTTTCGTTGGGCTGAGAGAAAAACCAACCAAGCACATTGTCCAGAAGCATACAATTCTCTTCTCATGGTAATGTGTAGGGGTAAAAAACTTTATTGTCTTGAACAGATTTTGGAGGAAATGAGTCTTGCTGGATTTGGTCCATCTAATAGCACATGTATTGAGTTAGTTGTCAGCTGTGTTAAGTCTCAGAAGATGAGAGAAGCATTCGATTTTATACAATCCATGAGAAAGTTAAAATTCCGCCCTGCATTTTCAGCTTATACGACTCTAATTGGTGCTCTATCTGCAGTTCATGAACCTGATCTCATGCTCGTGCTCTTTCATCAGATGCAGGAGCTAGGTTATGAAGTAAATGTGCATTTGTTCACAACTCTTATTCGTGTATTTGCCAAGGAGGGTCGGGTTGATGCTGCTCTTTCTCTGTTAGATGAGATGAAGAGAAACTCATTTGATGCAGATCTTGTTCTCTATAATGTTTGTATTGACTGCTTTGGCAAGGCGGGTAAAGTGGACATGGCCTGGAAATTTTTTCATGAGATGAAAGTGCATGGTCTTATGCATGATGATGTGACATATTCTAGTATGATAGGGGTCCTTTGGAAAGCTAATAGACTGGATGAAGCTGTGGAGCTATTTGAGCAGATGGAACTTAATAGGAAAGTCCCTTGTGCATATGCTTATAACACCATGATAATGGGTTATGGCTCTGCTGGAAAGTTCGATGAAGCATACAACTTACTTGAGAGACAAAAAATCAAAGGGAGCATTCCGAGTGTGATTGCATATAATTGTATTCTTACATGCCTTGGAAAGAAGGGCAGGGTGGATGAGGCTTTGAGGATATTTGAGGAGATGAAAAAAGATGCAGTGCCTAATCTTTCGACCTACAATATTCTCATGGACATGCTTTGCAAGGGAGGGAAGTTGGAGGCTGCTCTGGAGATTCGGGATGCCATGAAAGAAGCTGGCTTGTTTCCTAATGTTTTAACTGTGAACATAATGATTGATCGCTTGTGGAAGGCTCAGAAACTTGACGAAGCTTGTTCTATATTTGAAGGGATGGATCATAAAGTTTGCACCCCAGATGCAGTTACATTTTGTTCCCTGATCGAGGGTTTGGGCAGACATGGCAGAGTAGATGATGCGTACAGACTATATGAACGTATGTTAGATTCTGACCGGATTCCAAATGCTATTGTCTATACATCACTCATCAGGAACTTTTTTAAGTCTGGCAGGAAATATGATGGTCACAAAATCTACAAAGAAATGGCCCGTAGGGGCATTTCTCCTGACCTAACCCTCCTCAATACTTATATGGATTGTGTTTTCAAAGCCGGTGAAACTGAAAAAGGCAGGGCTTTGTTTGAGGAAATTAAGGCTCTAGGGTTCGTCCCGGATGTGCGGAGTTATTCTATACTAATTCATGGACTTATAAAAGCTGGTTTTGCACGAGAGACTTATGAGCTGTTTTATGTAATGAAAGAACAGGGTTGTATTTTGGATACCCTTGCTTACAACACTGTTATTGATGGATTCTGCAAATCAGGTAAAGTGAACAAAGCTTACCAGCTGCTGGAGGAAATGAAGGTTAAGGGTCACCAACCCACTGTGGTTACCTATGGTTCTGTTATTGATGGGCTTGCTAAGATTGACAGGCTTGATGAAGCTTACATGCTCTTTGAAGAAGCAAAATCAAAGGGTGTGGAGTTAAATGTAGTTGTTTATAGTAGTCTTATTGATGGGTTTGGGAAGGTGGGTAGAATTGATGAGGCATACCTAATCATGGAAGAGTTGATGCAAAAAGGTTTAACACCTAATGTGTACACATGGAATTGCTTACTTGATGCACTGGTTAAGGCTGAGGAAATTAATGAAGCGCTTGTTTGCTTTAATTCCATGAAGGACCTGAAGAAATGCACTCCCAATTTCATAACGTACAGCATCCTCATAAATGGTCTTTGCAAGGTTAGAAAATTCAACAAGGCGTTTGTGTTTTGGCAGGAGATGCAGAAGCAAGGGTTAAAACCCAATATGATCACCTACACAACAATGATTTCTGGGCTTGCGAAGGCTGGAAATATATCAGAGGCTAATGGGCTTTTTGAAAGGTTTAAGGAAAATGGTGGTAAACCTGATGCTGCTTGTTATAATACTATGATAGAAGGGTTGAGCATTTCAAACAGAGCAATGGAAGCGTATACACTATTTGAGGAAACTCGCTTGAGAGGCCGTAATGTTTATACCAAAACTTGTGTTGTTCTTTTGGATGCATTGCATAAGGCTGAATGCCTTGAGCAGGCAGCAATTGTGGGCGCTGTGCTGAAGGAAACAGCAAAGAGTCAGCATGCATCAAGGTCCTTTTAACGACAGGCTTGTAGTGGCACTACAAGTATATGGTCAGCATTTATTTTGACATATTTTATTTTATTTTATTTTTCTGGAGCTTATTCTAATGGTTTTGAGTTCTCGTGGACAGCAACAAAACGACCAGTTTGCTACACTTGAATTTTTGTTTCCAACTGAAAGTGGTCCCCCAGGGATCCTAGTTAGCACACATTATTTTGTAGTTATGAGATAAATTTAAGCTAAAATTCTAAAATCTCACTTGCTAATGAAATAATTTATTTTAAGGAAAATAAAGAAAAAAAAAAAAGGAAAAACAAAATGAACACAGTTGAATTTATAGTAAAATGAGGAAGGATCTCACAAACATGAGCGCTCTAGGTTCTTTAGGCATATTAACTGGATGCATAATTGTTGGTCTATGCCCTAGAATTTGCCTATTTAATGTCAAATTAAATTATAGTTTGTGCATCATAATGTCATATTATCCTGGTATTTTAATTATGGTATGGTTCATTGCTTTTATTCCCATTGTCCATTGCTTTCATCCACATATTAGTAATTGTGGTAAAATACAATTATTATACAATCAGGGTTAATCCATAGTTTCTATGTGGAAAAATGCATCATATTATATTGTCTAAAATAGATGATATACACTAACAGTTCCTCAAGGGACCTCTAGTCATTTCCAATGTGCAGTTATATACATACAGGTCAATTGCTCAGATAGATGGATTAAAATAGTGGATCATCAAACAGCTCCAAAGCATCATTTGATCTAACGGCTGAGATTCAACTTGTTCAAATATTTTATTGGCTGAGATTATTGTGCTGTTGATAGCTACTGTGTGAACATCCAAATGATTTAATCCATTTGGTCAATGTGTTAAAGTGATCAAGCGGCTATGAATAATCCTTGGTGTCAAACAAGGACCAACATCAAGATATGTATCCACTACTGATATAACAGCTGCAAGGTTTTGGTCCACATGTATAGTCTTGTATCAGTATCAAGAAGATAGGGCTTGCACTGGGTTGGCGGAGAAAAGAAAGAAAATACAGAGAGGTTTGAGGGTCGAAGGATTCGAGAAGAGAGCTCAGAGGGTCAGTGCTTCATTGATAATAAGAATAGAGAGAGCTTGAGTGCTGAAATCAGACCAAGAGAATCAAGCTTCTACTCAACTGATCTGTGCAACCTCATGACCCAATCGTAAACTTCATTGAGATATCCTTTGTGTTGTTCATCTATTGAAGACCAAACAGAGACAACCGGCTATGATTGTGAGAGTTTCAATCAGTTCAGTTGGTCCAAACTATGGTGAGTATCAGAGACACAGCCAACGAGAGCGCAGAGGTATAACACCGGAGAGCAACAGTTTCGGCAAACCCCAGTCCAAGTGAACTTCAGTCCGTGCAAGTGCAGAGAATGCCTCAGCTCCGTTCAAACAAATACCAGCTCCGACGAGTTTCAGTCCAGGTCCGGTGCGGTTCATTCCAGAAGCTTCAGTCTGGCAAGCTTCCTTTGTTTCAGACCGACAAACTTCTGTTCCGGCAACAGCTCCAAACGTTTGTAACCAAAATCCGAGCAACAGCCTCCATTATTTTCAGTGAACACAGAGCTACAACACAAACAGCTCCCGTCGAAGTAGTTAAATCCCAGTTCAGTCCAGTGACCCAACAAAGTTTACATCCGAAGCTTGGTGATTGAGCCTCAAGCGACCCAACTGGTAAAGCTTCAGAGACCGAGTTGATGACCCAGTAGTTCCAGTGTGCTCTAGATTGCGCGGGCAGAGTTTCAGTGGCATTTCAACGTGAAGACCAGGTTTGGGTGGATTTGTGTTAATGGAAGTTGGGTCTTGCAGATAAAGGACAGTGAAGAACTCCAACGAACAGGTTTGGGAGTATGAAGAAGATCAGTGAGCTTAAATTGAAGATTTAAGTCCTTCAAAGATGAACATTCTTTTGGTGGGTCTTAAAATGGTTTGTTCAAGCTTTATTATTCAATCACATTCATAGGAGCTGTCTTCAAGTCTCAAGGGCTTAACTAACGTGGGATTGGTTCTCATTTGCTATACCACTCATATTATAGAGCAAATGGATTTCAACCTAGTGGAGCCGTGGTGAATCACTTTAAGCTTGGATAGAGGGTGAACCACAATCATATCATCTTCCTCAACCTTAAAGTTTGAAGTAAGGGATGTGAATCTTACTCTTTAGTTATATATTTATTCATTGATATCTTATATAACTAGAGAGGCATCATTATCTATATTTTATTGTGAGCGACAATTGTGAGTACTTGGTCCAAGCATTGGAATGTTGTGGACAGGGGGAGTACAAAGAGTGATTGTTGTGAGATTGGTGTGTGGTCCAAGCACTGGGGTGCTTAGGACACGGGAGAGTGCAAGAGCGACTTGTACGTGAGATTCGTGAGAGAGTCCAAGCACAGGGGTGCTGTGGATAATGCGAGTTCTGAGTGAACTTGCAGAGAGCTAGGGTGTGTGTGTGCAGAGAGTGAGAAAGCTAGGGTTTCAACTTGTACAAGGGTGTGTGCAGAGTGTGAGACAGCTGAGTGTGTATCATCTTGCAACACAACTAGTGGATTTACACTGGCTGCCAGGAACCAAGGTTTTTTAACCCTATTGAGGGGGATTTTCCTTGTAAAAAATCCTGTTGTCAAGAGTGGACTGTGGTTGTGACATTTCATCAAACAAGTTACATAAGCTCTCATTAGTCAGAAAAGAAATTGTAGAAGAACCAATTCACCCCCTCCCCCTCTTGGTTCAACAATTATAGAAGGGTCCTACTGTTTGCCTGTCACGGTATGATTTTATTGGGTACTGACCACATTGAAGACTAACTGCAGATAAATTGAGCTATCTTGATGAAGTTTCCAACTGCTATGGAAAAGTGACTGTTATAGAAAATTGAAATATCATTTTCGGCTTTTCGTTTTTTGAATTTTAAATTTTAATAGGAACAGTTTAAGTACTATTATTTTTCCTTATTACTGAAGCTGTATCATTAATCCCTGAAAGGCCCAACAAGCAAGTAAACCCCACAGCTTTAATAACAAACAATCTGATCTGCAAGCATTATCCAAGTAACTCTCTCTCTCTCCCCTATATATAGTGAATATCTTTTTGAATTGATCTTCTATTCTCTTTTAATAATTTTTAAAAACATTTTTAAGAGGTTACAAAGAAAACCATGTGGTTTTTAATTTTCATTTGCAATGTTTGGAGAACACGGAGCTTAGTTGGAGGGCTGAAACGATGGACTGATTGGAGGTCTGCAACTCCTGAATAATGTTATGCGGTTTGCCCTCTATTGATCCACTGTCCGCTCCTTTGCTCCCCATTGTGTGACATTTCCTCTATCTGTTTTTCTTTCTCGTACAAAATTGAATATTATTGTACTTGTTGATGGTATTTGCTAACATTTGGTGTGGTGATGCATACAACAAATGAATAAATAAATAAAAAGTTAAGTTGGTGCTGGTGAAAGCAGTAAAGATCACAGAAAGTGCTATGTGCAAGACCTCTATTGATATCTTCAAAGTTCAAACAATACACATTTGGTGATAACTGATAAGTTACTCGAGTCTACCAACTTTGATGAATTCAACTACACGGTATGGACACACTTCTTTTCCTTTTTCTTTCTGTTTATGATCATGAATTTGGAAGATTCATAAATTTGACTGTTTTCTGATGAACCGTTCCAAATGCGTGGTGGGTGGCCCACAGCTATTGCTGGAAGCTTCTTAAGATAAAAGTTGTGTGAAGAAACAGGAGGAGCACTCAAGCAGTGGTGGCTTCCATGACCTGCTACCTCTTCTCCATAGCTCGTGCCATATGTTAGCCATTCCTTCAAGTCAGGGACAAACCTGCAATCTACACCCCTCCTGTGTTTTAAGGATATGATGTTATCATCATCTCATTTAGTAAGGTCTTTAACTGGTACTACTTGATCAATGTTTAGTGATAGGATTGGTAGACTGAGATTAACTATAGATCTAACTTCTCATATATGTTAAAATAAAGCCTTTACCTAGTACTAGTGAACCACCACCAGGGGTAGTAGTCCATTGGTATCCCCTATACCTTCTAAAAGAGGCATCAGGGTTCATCAATGTCGAGTGTTCCGATGGGTAAACTAAGAATGGATGTAATTTCTGGTATAAGTTGTTGCCTGAGCTCGAATCACTTTCTCACATGATCTGAAGCTTTTACAATACTATTGTAAGTGGTAAAATGTGCCTCTTTGAGCTTGGAATAACAAAGGGGACTTGTGTTGACTGGTTCTAGCAGTCTCAACTTTTAGTTTCGACTTTATGGCATGAAGTAGCTGTCTTGTCTTTAAGCTTGGACTCAAATTTTCACAACGATCGGAGCTTTTACCGTTTTAAGCTTGGACTCGTATTTTCACAACCATCTGAGCTTTTACCTTTCTATTATACAGTATTATACTAAATGTGTCACTTGGAGACTGCAGCAACAAAATATTTTTGTTTTGACCGGTGCAAATGACCTTTACTAGTAATTTCAGTTTTATGGACTTTAAGGAATGAAAGAATTTGAATTGCTATGGATTTCTTGAATGACAGATTGTCTGGCTCAAAAGAATGCGCTTGAAGTACTGTGACATTGATGTGCAACACTTTGTTACTGAAGAACGAAGCAGGAGTCACGACAAAAAAAATAGACCATTACATATAAACTTATAATTGTATTAATATATATTTAATTATTCAAAACAAAAACAAAACAATTTTTACCAGTACCCTGTTATTGATTCAGAATTTTTTATCACAAAACAACTACCGAGACGTGTTTTGTTTTTGAATTTCTTGAAATGCATGATATTACCAAACGCGTTTTCATATTTTTTATATCGAATTATCAAAAGCAAAATCATCGTTACCAAACGTAGTTCCGATTTTTACTGAAAGCACTCTAATACTAAAACGGTCGTTTTTTGCATCATACCAAACCATAACGCTTAAAATATATCGCGATCCAAACGGGCCCATAGTCATTTTATCACATAATGGCGGCTAAGGGATTGAAACTTGATTCTTTCTTAAGTGATTTACCCACTTAAGTAAATCTCTTAAAATTAATTTTTTTTGAAAAGGAGATTTGTGAATGCTAACAAAATAAAATAAAATAAAATAATGAAATCTTTAACACCATTAGTAAATAATTCTTAAAACTATATTATCTCACTCATCCTTTGTTAAGGACATCACCAAATACTACTAACTCTCTCTCCATTAATAGTTACAAATTGTTACCGACATGGCCAATACTAGTAAATAACTTGATAGTTATAGTTTGTTACGTATATCACCAATACTTTCTATTAGCTATTTCACTTGATAGTATATTATGTCACTCATACTCAGGGTTCGCTCTGGACACAAGCGAGCCGCTTAAGGTGTAACGACCCAAATTCATTGAATTCGGATCCTAATAGGGTTCTTACACGACCCGAAGTCGTCTAAGAGTAATACGGTCATTACACGTTAAATTAATACTTTAAGGTCTAACAAAGGGAAAATAGTCATTTAACATCTATATATATATATATAATGGTTTAAAATCCAAAAAGGGTAAAACAGTCATTTACTAAGGTTATCCAATGATTAGGATGAAGTTCGGGAGTAAAATATAATTATTGTATTTTATTAGATCACATGGTGTGTGATAATAATATCCATAAGTGAGTGGAAGAGCGCAAAAATGGAAAATAATTTATAAGAAAAAAATAACAGGAACCGGTCCATGCCTAGCACTCACACGTGAATTGGTTTGGGTGAATCGGTAGACGTAAACTCTTTCACGTCGACTGGTTGTGCCTTAGTATAGTAGAAAAGCCTATTGTCCAAACACGTGTGGGTATATACATGTTGAAACTTCCCAGGCTTTGAATTTTTGTGTTCCATAAATTGCTCAACCAATTGTAACTAATTTGCCCAACCTAAACCTGTAACGACCCGGTCATTTGCCTTCCTTTCCTTTTTCCTGAAATTTTACGAATGAATTTTTTTCGTTTAATTTTCTTTTTTGAGCTCTGTTTCGTGTTGCTTAGTGTCATCTCGAGTGCTCGAAATTGGTTCCTGAGACTCTTTTCCGTGGATTGACAACTTCCTTTGAGGACCGAGTCATTTTCACATTTTTCGTTTTTCGACATTATGCGTTATTTCGTCATTTTCCCTATTCTGTCTTATCTCCGTTTGTCAGTTGTTGGCACAACCTCATTTCTCATGCTCGGAGTTGGTTTTTGACTTCACGTGCCTTCATCTTGAGTGGTTTTCTCAAAATACGTATCTTTACTTTTACAAGAAAGTACTCTAGTTGCTCCCGATGTCCACAGGAGCATAGATGTACAATTTTTCAGAATCTTTTTCATTTCTTGGGGTGTTTTTCGTAAATATCTTTTGAAGATATTTTATTTCAGGGGCATCTAAGAAAATATCTTTAGGAAGATATTTTCATTCTGGGGCAGTTTCGCAGTTAACCCTTTTTGTAGGGGCCATTGTGCAATTAACGAAAGTTATTGCAAAAATGTCTCGTCTGGAGCCTGGATCCTCGTACGGGATTCATTTTCACTTTCGTTGACTCTTAAATTTATAGAATTTCCTTCTGGTCATTTTTCTCCAGTTTCAGAGTTTCTGGACCCGGTTGACGCCGAACTTGTTCGGGGCATAACTTTCTGCTCGGGATTCTCAGTTTTTAACACCGTTTTTTTCGTTGTTCATATTTCCTCATTTTGAATCTTTTTTGTTCACGGAGTTTTTCCATTTGAGCACGTTTGCTCAAAATCCACTTTTCCGGACCCGGCGGGGCCCTTTTGGGGCACTTTTTGAGATTTCTATAAATAGGTTGTCCTAATTTTTAAAATCAGATTTTCAGACCTTCTTCCTCCTCTTGGCTGGCAACCATGGGAGTCCAAGGGACTGCCTTCACTCTTTCTTCTCCTCCACTTGATTTCCTTGGTAGAAATCCTTCGACCTTAGCATTTGTTGTTCGCCTCGTCGTGCTCTACCTTTTGCCCTTATTAGAATCCATTTTCGACGATTTTTCGAGTTCAGGTTTGGAGTCAAGTTGAGATTTTCATGGGGCTTCTTGCGGATTCTTGTTCACGGTGTTGTCCCTGACAAAACCTCTCGTTATCGTCGAATTTGGAGCACTTTTATTTTGGTGGGCCTTTGAGATTTCATCTCAAATTGAGGTAGGGGATGTTCTAGGTTTAAATTCTTGTTATATAGCATGCTTGTGATGCTTATTCAACTTGTTTGCATGATTAAATATAAAATCTAAAGATTTTATTATTTATTTTTCTTGTACGGGATTTAATTTTCCCGGTTGCTCGTGACTTCGTTTAAACATGTAGCATGATTTTATATTGTCCCTTGATATGCTCATTGTCGTGTATTAAAATTGGAACATTTGAATAAGTATTAAAGATTTTATTTAATATTTATCTTAGGTGAAAGATTAATTCACGTGGCCTTAACTAGTTTGAAATTAATATGTGTTAGCATATTATATTAGGCCTTAGCATACTCTTCAACATAGTTAAATTTGAAAGTAATTGGAGGTGTTTTAAAAATTAATAATTATTAATTAATTTGCCTCGAGTGCACTATTCACTCTATTTAAATTCCGACTTGATATTCTTGAGTTACATGCCATATACCTTCACATATAATTGATTTAGAATATTCGGTTAGGTTTTGAAACCTTTTATTTAATTAAATTCCATTTTTAAGATTTAATCCTCATGGTGATATACAACTTGGAATTGTATTGTGGCATGCTAGAAAATTAAGTTTTGATGTGGTTGTTCACATATATTAAATTGGGATTAATTGCATGAGAATTGCAACCTTTATTTTATATTTAACTTTAGTGGAAGTTTAATTTACATAGGTGTAACTTGCATGAAATAAGCTTGTAATGTGATATTACATTAGTCCTTGGCATGTTCTCTAAGATATGTTAAATTGAGAGCATTTGGTTAAGTTTGAAAATCTAGAGATTTTAATTAAAAGAATTAATTAAAATCTATTTTGTGGTCCCATTAGCTTAATTAAGAT